AGTAGGAGGGGAGATTAACAATGTTTGCCTTGAATATAAATCTGCTATTTTATTTATATATTTCGAAAAGCAACTTCTTAGGATATTTCCGAGTATAGATTCAGAATCAGCGTACTCGATTTAGCCTCTTACAAAATCTTTTTTTTTTCTGTGTAACGGGCAAAAACGTTTTGTGGAGAATTATAATTTATCTTAATTGATAAATGACATCGAACCATAAAGGTAAATATTTGCTAGAAAGCTGCCCTACATGGATTATGATTAAATATGATTAAACTGATTTACCAGGTTCTATGGTTCACATTCGGTTAAATGAATGAGTTGTAAAGCCTTATCTGTAATAACTGCAATCGAAATGAATGTTTTATGTCACAAATTCCAGAATGAGGCAGGTGTATTCGTATATTCGTCTTCCCGCGAGGAAGAATATAACGTCGTGTCAAATTTCAATTAAGAAGCCTTCACACGGTTTCATGTGGAGAGAAAAGTGTCCAGTTCCGAAAGCATTTCCCTTGGTACTCCGAAAGATTGATTCTGTCTATACAAGTACAATGGAAAGCGTTGCCTATAATTCTAACTCTTTCCAACTGGACATTGGCTTCTTTCTGGACTTGCGATCGCAGAATATTTTCAGGAGAACTATAAAAGATCACATTATTAGGAATTACTCATATCCTGGGGAAAGTCGTTATCCAAAATGATATATTAGTCTTTGAGAATTGGTTCTTTCATCATAACAAGTATTTAGATGGTGATAAAAATATGGTTGCCCTTTTTCTAGAAAATGAGTTCTCTCTGTAAAAGTTATTTTAATGCATCCAGCCATTCCTCCCAAATCCAAAGACAAAAAAAATCTAGAAACCAAGGAACATGGTGACATTGTTGACTGTGGTTTTGTATCCGTCTCTCCAATAAAACAAACAGGCTAGTGGCTGGTTTTTTTTGATAGCAAGAAGGAAAGAAAACTATGTTAACCACACAAGCGACCTAGGAGTGTCGATAGATGGTGATGTCGGGGAAATTTAAACAATGGCTCAGACAAGACGAACTGGAATTAAAAGTAATACACATTTCCGATTTCTGTTTTGATCAACGCTTAGTGGTAAGCAAAATATGATTACGTGATTGACAAAATGTGAAAAATTCCTAAGTAACGCGTTTCAACACTGAAAGGATCTTCTTCAGAATAACAATAATGAATGGATGAACACAAAAGGATCTCGTACATAATTTATGAGATGAGTTAGTCATATATAGAAATAAATTCAAGCACAACTTCCATCTAATGAATGCCACACTTATTTAACAAGAAAATAACATCGACAAAAAGTTCTTGAGATTTACGCTATCGAACCAAGTCAACATACATGACCATAAAATACTAAAAGAAAACAGTTTAATCAAACCTGTTATTTAAAATAAATACATAAATTAATTAAGCAGACTTGAATAAAATAATAATTAAGCATTGCATAAAAAAAATCAGCAAAAACCATAACATTTACTTTCCTTTATTAGATATTAAATGACATAACTTAGCATTTATAGTTTACCTTCACTTTCACGGTTCACCTGAAGAATATTTATGAGCGCTCTTAGATTGAAACATTTAGAAAACCTGAAGATGTTTTTATTTATTTCGTAAAATAAAATTTATACATTTGCCTTGAGGGCGATCAGAGGAAGAAACGCGTCGGTAAAGAAAAGATGTCCTTTTGTCCTTATTCATATATATATATATACCGACACGATATATATAGTCACCGACAGACAGAATATTTCACTGTATCACAGCTCATCAGTGTGACTAGACGTCCGGTTGCCTCTAGCAAGGATCGAAACCCGGCTGATATGGAATCAGTCTGAGATCTTACCGCTAAGCCGTTGGCGCACGGCAGGGAAGAAAGTGAATTTAAGCGTATTTATTTTTAGATAAACAGACAGGGGCCGGGAGAACTTGATTCGGTTTATGGTGGACTCTCCGGTCGTATTCGACGTATGAGGCTCAATAGCTCAGTTCCCAGGAACCGACAGCCAGACCCCAGCACATATGATTTGATTATAGTGGTGAAGGCATTGTGCAGAACCAATCACACTTTTTGAAAAGCCGAATACAGAGAACTGGTACACTACGTAGCACAAGGTTCCCAAATAACCCTTTGCAGGTTTTGAATTCAGAGTTGTCCTTTTCCTAGACCAGTTGCCATCCAAGGCTATAGAACCTTCTATTTACCCATACATGGATTAATACTTTTCCCAAGGTATGCAAGCAAGTGAATGTAATGGATTCGACTTGAATTCGAAAGTGGCCCTACCGATTCCTCAATACCTACTATTCCACTATATATATATATATATATATATGTGTGTGTGTGTGTGTGTGTGTGGGTGGGTGCGTGTTTGTGTGTGTGCATATATATGTGCGTGCGTATGTATGTATTTATATATACACACACACATATATATATATATATATATATATATATATATATATATATGAAGAAATATGGTCTTAAGGTGTGCTATATCTATGGGACAAAGTGCTCAATATCAGAGATAGAGCGTATGTAAAGTGTAAAAAAACATTAGAGGCGACAGTCTGTTTCATGCTAGACTCGATTGTCAGGCCTGACGATTACATCTAGCATGAAACAGCCTGTTGCCTCTAAGTGTTGACTTCAATGTTCATTATATATATATATATATATATATACACGCACACTTATATACATACACAAACATGTATACAAACTCACATGCAGATATATATATATATATATATATATATATATATACGCCATTCGCAGACAGTACTGTTTCGCTGTATTACAGCTCCTCAATGCAACTAGACATCAGAATGCTTCTAGCCAGGACCGAAACCCGACCAATTTGGTGTCAGTCCGAGTTTCTACCCGTGAGCTATCATCATTCAGCAGAGGGAAACAGCTAATACTCGCGTATTGTATTTACGAATGTAAACAAACGTCAATCAGACAGAGGGCTCCAATTCATTTTACTGAAGAGCTTTGCATTACATAAAAAGCGTTAAATATAGCGATATTTAAATTTATCTTACTTTTTTTTTTTCAACATTCGATGTCTTTAGATGCGTCGTCCAAATTATTTAGCTTTCAATTGCTTTCGATCGTATCTTTGTTAGATTCTACATTGTATCAATATAAATTTTGGGAAAGAATTAGATATATTTTATGATCCTGGACGTAAATTTGCCGAACTAGTGTACGTTTTTACCTTAATGAAATTACTTTCCCTGTTAAGTAAAAGAGCGCATTGATTCAATAGAATTAATGCTCAGACATATTACAATGAATGACGAATGAATTCTGAGTATTGTTTTGTAAAATATTGCTTTTGTGTTTAGATAAACTCAGATTTAAACTTTTTTGTATTTCTCTGAACGTTTTACTGTTTATTTTGAAAATACATGCTTTATGCTTAATGTCTGTTATCGTGTTTTGTTATAATTAAATCTTTTATAAAATTATATTTGTATTCAAGGTTTCCTTCAAACTTGTCGCCTCGTTTTGCTGTTTTATCAAGTTTCAGCCACACGACTTGTGACAGAAAGGAATAACCACGTTAAAAACATCGGTTCTCGTTCGATCACTGTAGTTCAGTGTCGAATCCGGTCGGTATTTAAAGTGGGCCGCTTGGGAAAACCTCGTGTTTTAAGGGACCTCCTACAACCAGAAATATGTTTCGACCTTAAAAAGGTTTATAAATAGTAAAATAAATAAAGGATAAAGAAATCATTTGTAAATTTCCTTCGATCGTCGTGTTGGTCTGGGTATATTTAGAATCACCTCTTGGTTTCTGTTATTTGAAATAGAAGTTAGATTATATTGATGTTATTGTCTTGGTTTCTTCCGTCCATCCCTTGGGTTCTATCACCATGAACAAGTGGAAGTTTACCTTGTCATCGCGTCGTTTATTTCATTGATGATGTGAGGAATGGTATTTTACCAACCCGTTTGTTTTCTAACAACCCTTAAGACTTTCTGAATTCGTAATTGCCCCCACCTTCGTTTCACTAGTTGTACCGTTTATGGTAGCAAAACCTAACCTAAACATTGGACTCGCGAATTCCATGAAACAAAACTAACTTTCGTATCACACTCCAATGCCTTTCTTTCACAAGGTTAAGACGTAAATCTCTTTTGTCACCTTTTAAATTAAGATATTGATTACTGGATGTCATTTCCATAAAAACTACGCATTAACTTCGCCTTGCAAGAATTTTCTTAGCATTTTTTGAATGTTTGATATTTTGACAAGGCAAAATATAATTGAAGTGACAGAAACGTTTCCCTTCCACATTGTATGTTCTTTATCAAAATAAAAGAAAATTTTTTAATGTTAATATTGATTGATTTGTTTTCTACGGTTGATTAACTCTTTGCTGGTTATTTAAAGCCAGAAAATATTTTAAGATTGTAAAAATTTGTTTTTAGAGATAATAATGGTCTAGTGATACAAGCTTTAACATTTAACTCAAAACTGAGGGGAGAGAAAAATGTGGGGTCATATCTAATCAGAATTTGCTAAACAAACAAGAAATTATAATGTGGATATAAAGTGGGGTATCAGTTCTATATTAGAATCAACATGTAAATTGATCCCTCAGTTTGTGGCCACGGTAATTTCTATACATTTTTATTCTAGAGAATCTAAAAATATGCTTGAGAAGCTAATCAGTATTTCATTGATTGGTTCAGCCTTGTGCCAAAATAGTAAGTTTATATTGCAATAAATATACATTATTTTATTAACTGATTGTAAGAATTGTTTTGTTTTAGATAATAATGGTTCAGTAATACAAGTCTTACTAATTAACCCATAGCTGGGGGAGAAGAGGTGGAATCATAGATTTCCCAACGTTTGTGCGAAGGGAATATAACGAAACCAACTGGAATTGGAACTCAACTCTCCTATCACTAATTCCGAGCCATTATCCATTAAAACATTTGCACATTCAAGCTTATAACACTTGGTGCTCCTAAGCGGTCACCCGTCTAGGTAAGGGCCAGACTCGACGTTGCTTAACTTCGATGATCGTATGGGAACATGTGTTTCAACATGATATAGTCGTAAGCCATTTTTATGTTCAGTTTGTCGAATAATCCAATAAGAAAATTATGTTTGAATTTTGACAAAAAAAACGGTGTTGAAAAAAAATATATTTTAAAATTTGTCCTTTTGTCCTTAAAATGTTTTCTATTTAAAGTATATTTCTCAGTCTCTTAACTTTGCTTTTTTTTTTTTTTTTTTGCACATATATATATTTTTGCTATATATATATATATATATATATATATATATATAGTAAAAGGAAAGGGGACCATCTTGGTGACTAAGTCGAAGACGATGACTCAGGCTAAGCACAACCTACCCGAAAGACCCCCAACGGTGGGGCAAGCGAATGACGATTACAATAGATCTAAACGGTTGAACAAGCGAGAGAAGAGGGCTACGCATTACGGACATGCTACAGAAGACGTTACCCAAAATTATAATCGAGTCAGTGGCATCCTGTTGCGGTTTCTTAGATGGGTTCTGCATGTCTCATTTCATATGTACCGCAGAGGAAGGTCATAAAATCAAATTCGTGAGTCACTTCTTGGCATCTTGATGTCCACCTTAAACAAATTTCCGCCATCGGCACTTTCTTCTACTCAGATTTTCTTTTACTTCCAACTCTTGCAAAACCAAACGGCGATAGGTAATGGATGACGGGTGCATTTTGCTGAAACTGGAAGCTTCTGGTCCTGAAATTCCACGTTGGTGGCGAACTTAGTCATCAATGACATCATTATAAAGGAAGCGATCGACAAAAAAAGATATTAAATTCTTGGATACACGATAAAGCCGCCGCCAGCACACATACATACATACATATACATATATGTCTGACTAGCAGTAGAGCCCGGCGTTGCCCGGGGATGTAACAGTAAGAGATAGATCAAGTATCGACCATCATAAAGACTGAAAAATAAAATTGACAAAGATTATTGTTTAAGGTTGACACGCATGTCTTAATTAGTTTTTTTTTTGTTTTTTTTTTTTACGAATTGGTCAAACCCAAACAAAAACATTGTTTTCAATCGTTATGTGTCTATCGATTGAACAGAATTTTATTATAAACAATTGTCTTGTAAATGGAATTGTTAAAGCATTCTGAATGTAAAAATAAAGAAAAAAGTGTGCAAGACAATAAGAAACACTACCTACCAAAAAAAAGTGAAGTTTTGTTGAAATCGGTTGAAAAATGTAGGAAATCCGATCCCATATATAAACGAACATACACACACAAAAACAACCTGGGTTTTATAAGTACAACTCGATATAAGCGAGTGATGCCTCTTAATCGTGTTTTCAAATTGATTCTGTGCAAAAACAATTGTGTTTTTCCAATTTTTGGCGCTGTCAAAACCGCCGCAATGTAATTTTACGTTGTCCTGTGAAGTTTTGTTGAAATCGGTTGAAAAATGTAGGAAATCCGATCCAATATATAAACGTACAGACACACACACACACACACACACACACACACGCACACAATCTGCGTTTTATAATAAGTAAGATTGAATAAATTACAAACACTATGTCCGCTTATATTTATCATAATCCTTTACTATACACGAATATTTTTCCGTATATTACAAGAAAATGATACAAGAAATGCACTGTAACACTGAAAATCATTTATATTTCCCAAATACTTTCCATCTCTTTCTGAGATCATCATCAGGGGTGCAACTGGTAAGGCAAAAACTATATGTAGTTATCTTTTACTGATTTTTTTTTCTTTTGTATTTGAATGCAACGACTTACAGTTATGCTTTAGCATGCATTAGAATGTGAAAAAATTATCCACTATAGAATATTTTCTTTTATGTTGGAATGTCGTGGTGGAGGAAGCATTAAAGCGTGAAGACTTTTCTTTTTATAGACATTTTAAAACATTATTACAGCCTTCGTAGCTGATTCTATTCAGCGACGGCTTCAATTTTTTTTAATGTAAATTGCTTCGAGGATCTGTAGTTTTAATTTGTTATTTTCTTGGTGTAGGATAGTTGTGTTATCAATCAGTATTTTTCTATACTGTGAATGCGAACAGGATATTTGTGTAAATGTTTTGCAATGAACAAATGGTCAAACATGGGTAGAGTAAGACGATTTCATAATGTAGTTCTAATGAACGCTAAGGAATAACTGCTAGCCGTTGAATTTAAGCAGAAAAAAATCAGTAGGATAGCTACACATAGCTTTTGCCTTACCTGATGCAGCACTGATGATGATCTCAGAAAAAGATGGAAAGTACTTGAAAATTAAAAGGGATTTTCAGTGTTACAGTGCATTTCTTGCATCATTTGATTGTAATACACGGAATATAATAATACTAGTGATTTTTAAAAGGATTATGATAAAAATAAGCAGACATAATGTTTATATTATATAGACTCATACATGCCTACAAGAGAATTTGCTACCTAAATACACACACACACACACACACACACATATATATATATATATATATATATATATATATATATATATATATATATATATATATATATATATATGCACTTATTTGTACAAGATCACCAATAGGAAGGGAAAGAGGGACATTGCATTTCGTTTGCTTTCCCGTGAGGAATATCAAGAAAATATCCATGCAGAATTCATGAGAAGAATTATGGTCGCTTCGTACATTTGAACAATGTTTCATTTTTCACACCTTGTATTATTAGAGTTTTCTCTTGAATTCTAAATAGAAAGATGATCAGCAAATGGCGGATAAATTCATGGACGACGGCGTAAACAAGAGAATGTTTGTGATGTCAACAAATCCTCGTTGTCACTTTTGTAATGCACATTGTAGTAGAGACTTTGTAATTGCAGATACAACTATAGTAACGCCGTTGAACAACGCTGGTGTCAGACGCTTTCGAATAACACTCGCACTAATAGTACTTGCTCGATAATACTCGCTCGAATAGTAACCCGTATAGTGATCTGAATAGAGAAATATTATACTGAATAGAGTAGAGAATAGCGCTCCGTATCGTAATAGAGGATAGACTAGGGATGATGATCGTGAGTCGTCAGCTATTTCCTACATATATGCGTTTCCGCTATCGTCACGTGGTCTACTTAGATCAGTAATGGGATCGGCTGTGTTTGCTCACTGTTGATCTATGTTCAAACTCAAGTGTTGACAGCGACATTTTATTCCTAGATAACATGTATCTTCGATGGCATGAAGCATCGGCCAGCTGCACAGAAAATACAAGGTGGATGGTGAACACGGGGTTTGGAGAAGAAAGATACAAGTGCGCAGATTCACCTGGTGATTGCCTTTCTATGAAACTCTGAGTTTTGAAATTGCTTTTATTATTATATTGTATTTTAAGCCCTGTTGATTTTTGACATTGAGTCCTCAGTTTATTTTTATAGTTTAAGCTTTTAAAACATTTTGTTTTGATTCTATTCTAACTATATATATATGTGTGTGTGTGTGTGTGTTCCGACGTTTACCACACTGATGAGCTGTGATACAGCGAAACCGTCTGTCTGTGGATGACAATATATATGCTCCTGAAAAATTTATTTCAGTTGAGCTCTCTGGGGAGGAAGTGTGGGTTTCTAAACAGTGACTATTACGACTAATAATGCAAGACTCTTTGGTAAATCGAATGGAGTTCTCTCAGTCACTGTGTGTTTATCTAAAAATAAATACGCTTAAATTCACCTTCATCCCTGCCGTGCGTCAACGGCTTAGTGGTAGAATCCCCCACTGCCGCCAATTCAGTCGGGTTTCGATCCTAGCTAGAGGCAACCGGACGTCTAGTCACACTGATGAGCTGTGATACAGCGAAACAGTCTGTCTGTGGATCCCAATATATATATATATATATATATATATATATATATATATATATATATTATTATTCAAACATATATTGTTAAATATAACTGACAACGAATGTCTACTATGTTTGATCATGAGCCGTTCTAATCTTCGTATGGTTGCTTTAATTTCGGGAGAACAGGATCATTTGGTATACCCCTCCGTTCAACCAAATGGTTAGTATTAAGCTAGGACAGAAATTCCTAGCTTTAATTGAAAAACACTTTCCTACCAATAGTAGACTTAGTAAAATATTTAATAAAAACACCCTAAAATTAAGTTACAGCTGCACTGAAAATCTAAAAAGTATAATAAAAAAAACACAATAATAAAATCCTGAACAAACCCCCATGCTTAAATAGTATTAATAAAAACCCTACACTTAAATTAGACAAAAATAGTGAAAAATTATGTGATTGTAGAAACCCAGAAGACTGCCCATTGGAAAATAAATGCCGCGTAAAATCTGTGGTATACCAATGTACTATTTCATCCATTGAGAGTCCTAATACTAATATGATATACATTGGGTCTACGAAGAATTAATTTAAAACCAGGTGGAGGCAGCATAAGTGCTCTTTCAACAATATAAATAAAAGAAATCAGACATCTCTATCTAAATATTTTTGGCATTTGAAGGAAATGAATAAAACACCAAAAGTAAAATGGAAAATTATAAACAAAACTAGAACTTGTAAAACTTGGGATGACCCATGCCCTTTATGCCTACATGAAAAACTACACATTGTTAAGTTTCTAAATAATAAAAATCTATTAAACAATAGACACATGTTAACGGTTTTTTGCCGAAATCATCAAATTTTTGCATTGAATAATTAGCATAAAACAAACAAACAATAAAATAATTTTTAAATTCCATACTCCTAATAAATAGTTTAAATGCCCTACAAAAAAAGATAACCCTTTATGAAGTAGTCAAAAAACAAATGTTAGTGATTTACGACAGTTTTTATATACACAAAACTCTTTCAGAAAAAAATAAAAAATAAATAAATAAATAAATCTCCATAGACACTTAACCAGCCTGGACAATGTCATCTTCCGCTTTAAATTTAGACACCCCAACCTTACCCTGACTTGACATCTGTGAATGTAACTGAGATATTGATACAAATTATTAACACCTTACGCCCCTTTTCTTTAAACAATTGCTCTA